CAGATTTAGGGAATCGCTTAATGTTTGTGTAAGCAAAGGAGAAATTGAGAAGTGGAAAATGAATTTATTTCTTCAAAGGGATGCTAGGGCACCTTCTGTTGACGGCCTTCCAAAAATACACAACAAAAGAGTCCCTTTAAGATTGCTTATTAATGATAAGGAAAGTGTGATGCATTGAATTTTGCGAATCTTAGGCAGGCCATTAAGGAAAGTGGCTGATTATTGGAAATATTCAATGAAAAATTCATATGAATTTGTTAGATTGATAGATCAACAGAGTATCAGAGAGGATCTTTTGGTAAGTTTCGATGTTGTATCAATGCATACTAACATGGCAATTCAGGAGGCTATTGAAGCACTAATACTCCGTCTGGATGAGGACCCAGAAAGAAGTGAGGAAGCAAATCTGAGCAAAAGGTCAATCTTAAGGCTACTTAATCTATTCATGAGTAGCACATACTTCACCTTTAATGATAAGGTTTACGAATAGATACAAGGCTAGCAATGGGATCTTGTTTGGCTCCCATTTTAACAAATAATTACATGTCAAGAATGGAGGAACGCTCCATAGAAGAGGTTACCGGAAGACTAATCAAATACTAAGGAAGGATCAAGCCATGAAGCTCAACGGGACACTGAAGGATATAGTAAAGAAGTGCATAATAACGAAGAAAGTGATAAATGGTTGATGAACTAATTAATTAAAAATGATACAAGACCGCCGACACCCTACGAACTACCGAAGATATACAAGGAAGGAAGTCCGCTAAGATTAAGAGTCCACAGTCCACAACAAACATGTAGCAACACACAAACTAGTGAAATTCATTTTCTTGAAGCTCAAGAAAGTAAATGACAGACTCTCGAATACCGTGGAGAATTCATATGAATTTTCTCAAAGGATCCAAAACATTAGGCTTTTGGGACAAGTTTTGACGCACAATCCATGTGTGCAAACTTATCAGGCGAGAAAGTGGTAAGTGCCCTGCTGGAGAGTTTGGAACGAGAAGGGGATATCATGGAGGCAGAACGAATACGAAAGAAGCCGTTAACATGACTCATCAATCTGACAGTAAGGAACACCTATTTCACATTTAAAGGGAGTATCCACGAGCAAACATTTGGACTAACGATGGGATATTCACTCTCACATGTTCTGGCAAATGTATGCATGGACAAATTGGAAAAGGAATTAGAGAAGTCACCACTGCAACCAAGAGTGCTTATGCGATAGTTTGATGATTATTTTGCACTTTGGTCGCATGGCAAGAAACATTTAAATGAATTCCTCAATTTCATAAACCAACTTCATGAAAGAATCAAATTCATGCTGAAGGTGGAGGAGGATGAACTGCTACCCTTTCTACATATTGAAATCATGCACTCCAACGGAACACTGAGGAGGAGACTATACAGAAAGCATTCATATGCAAGAATAATCCTTAATTTTCAGTCTCACCATAACTACAGACTGAAGATCGGAATACTGAGGATTTTTATGATCAGAAGGACACTAAGTCCCGGGACAAGGGGATGGACAAACTGACTCGGATTTGCTTTAGTAACGAGCACCCCAGATAATTTACAGAAATAAATGTAGAGGTTATAAAGAGCAGATTCCAACTCGGATCTTATATAAATCCGATCAGGAATCAGGAGACCAACCAAAATTCAATATGCCTGCACTCCTGTGAACTGAGTCAAAGATTGTGACCATTACTAAGAAAATGGAATATCAAAGTGATGATAAAGGAGAAGACGACAATTTTCACGAGTCTGCCGACGCAATACGAGAAGACTGATAAACTGGGTTGCACGGAAGTTTATCACATCAATGCGACAATTGCGAGCAGAAGTACATAGGTGAAATAGGAATAAAAATCAGCCTACAAATCG